CTAATCACCTAAACAGTAAGTAAAAGGACATTTCTCTTATAGTGACAGGGGAATTTTTCCTTACACCCTGTTTTGTCTGACACCTTGTTATTATTAGACAGGATTTGTATAGCGCCAACAGGTTGCTCAGCACTTTACAATATAACGGGAGACAATACAGCAACAATACAGTTCAATACAAAAGGGTTAGGAAGGCTCTGCTCCTTGGAGCTTACAATCTAAGAGGGAGGGGCTGGTGGTGCAGGAGGTAATAACTGTGGGGGATAAACTAATAGGAGAAATAGAAGATTTGGTTATTAGCTGAAGGCAGGATAGGCTTCCCTGAAAAGATAGCTTTTCAGAGATCGTCTAAAAGTGGGCAGAGTAGGCGATAGTAGGATAGATTGGGGTAGAGAGTTACGAGAGTACCAGAGGATGGGCGAGGCTCTGGAGAAGTCCTGGAGACAAGCATGGGAGGAGACAAGGGAGCTAGAGAGCAGGAGGTCCTGGAAGGAGTGGAGAGGACGATTTGGGTGATATTTGGAGACAAGATTGGTGATGTAATTTGGGGCAGAGTTATAAAGAGTTATGGCTTTATATGTTATTGTTAATGTTTTGAATGTTATTCATTGGGCAATGGGAAGCCAGTGGAGGGATTGGCAAAGAGGGATAGCAGATATGGAACAGTTGGTAAGGTGTATGAATCTGGCAGCAGCATTCATGATAGACTGAAGAGGGGATAGCCTGCGATTAGGTAGGCCAATGAGAAGGGATTTATAATAGTCAAGGTGAGAGATAACAAGGGAGTGAATAAGTTGCTTAGTGGTTTTAGTGTTTAAAAATGGGCGTATCTTGGAGATGTTGCGGAGGTGAAGTCTACAAGATTTGGACAGTGATTGGATTTGGGGCTGAAAGGACAGATGGGAGTCCAGGATTACACCTAGTACCCTGGCATGAGGTTGAGGGACTGATGGTTGTATTATTGATCTTGATCAATATCTTGATTTGTGTGTCATCAACATAGAGATGGTACTTGAAGCCATGGCAGCTTATCAAGTGACCAAGGGAGGAGGTGTAGATGGAGAAGAGAAGGGGTCCAAGGACAAAACCTTGAGGGACCTCTACAGAAAGAGGAAGTGGAGAGGAGGAGACAGAGTTATAGGCAACACTGAAGGAGCACTGCGATAGGTAGGAGGAGAACCAGGAGAGAGCAGAGTCTCAGAGGCCAAGAGAGTGGAGTTTTTTTTGAGGGAGAGGGGATGGTCAACAGTATCAAAAGTAGTAATAATATAGAGTAGTGGCCATTGGTTTTAGCAGTTAGTAAATCATTAGTGTTTTTTAGTAGGGCAGTTTCAGTGGAGTGAGCGAAAGCCAGACTGTAAAGGGTCAAGAAGGTTGTTGTCAGTAAAGTAGAAACTAAGGTGATTGTAGACTAAGCGCTGTAAGAGTTTAGAGGTAAATGGGAAGGGGAGATTGGTCTAAAATTCTTCAGATTGGTGGGGTCCAGTGAGGGCTTTTTAAATATGGGAGTGATCTGTGCATGCTTTAGAGTGGAGGGGAAGGTGCCAGTAGAGAGAGAGAGATTGAAGATGTGAGTGGGGGAGCAAAGGATAGAAGAAGTGGGTGACCGTAGTACTTGTGAAGGGAACAGGATCCAGGCGGCAGGTGGTGAGATGGACTTTTGAGAAAACTTTAGTGACTTCTTCAGTAGTAGCAAAGTCAAAAGAGGAAAGTGTGGAGGGAGGTTAAGTACAAGGTATGCTAAGTGGGAAAGATGTCTGTGTAGCAGAGATTCCCCTATGAATCGCATCAATCTTGTTTTTGAAATGATTTGCAATCTCGTAAGCAGTGACTGGGTGGAGGTGGAGAAAGTAGAGTGTAGAGAAGAGACTACGAGGACTGGGTGACAAGGTATTAATAAGAGTGACAAAGTAGGCTAGTTTGGCAGCATGGAGGGAGGAATTGTATGTTAAGAAGGCAGATTTATATAGCGTGAATGCTTGCTGGGATTTGGTTTTACGCCACAATCGCTCTTAAGATTTCTGGTGTCGTCAGTCTGCAAGGTTGTAATGGTCGGGGCCTGATACTTCGTGTAGTTAGAGGAGCAAGTGAGTATAGTGTGGATGAGAGCGAACTGTTGTAGACAGCAGTGGCCAGGTCAGGGAAGGACAGGGGAGAGATTCTGTTATAGAGATGGTCAGTTGCAGAGCAGAAAAGAGAAGGGTTAAAGTTGTGAAGGTTTCTGTGAGTGTTTGCTGCTTGGTGGGATAGGTGTTTGAAGATGAGATTGTGATCAGAGAGAGGAAAGGGGGTGTTTGTGAGGTTTTAGGGAGTGCAAAGATGGGAGAAAACAATGACTAAGGTTTTTCCATCAGAATGAGTGGAGGACTATGTCCATTGTGTTAAAGCGAAAGATGAGGTTAAGTTGAAAAGTTGGGATGTAGCTGGGTTGTTCACATTAATGGAGATGTTAAAATCACCAAGAATGATAGTGGGTTTTCAGAGGCGAGAAAGTAGGGTAGCCAGGCAGAAAAGTTGTCAACAAAGTGTGGCACCGGTCCAGGAGGACGATAGATCACTGCAATCCTCACAGAAATTGGAGAAAACAGCTGAATGCAGTGAGTATCGAAAGAGAGAAGGAAAGAGAGGGAGGGGTTGGGAGGACTTGAAAGGTTTTGCAGAAAGTCAGACACCTGTCAAAAGGACTAAAAGTAGGTAGTTTTTTAGGGTTGATAAATGAAAATAAATTGGTATCCACTTTGCAAGGGAATCCCTTCTTAGTTTAAAGAATGTGTTTGAAAATCAATTTGCAAAGAATTTCCAATCTTTTGCAAAGGAAAACAAAAATTGATAATGGAAGACTGAATAATGGAAGCCAGCAGAGCTTTACCCCATTTACGGAGCTAGGGGAACATTTCCTTGCTATGTGAAAATTACTTTGCAAAGTGAAAAAATCCCTCACAAAATAAACAGCCTATTTGCCTTTCTTAAATTAACCCCTTACTGTCTCTTCAATTTCTTTCTGACACCCATCAATCTGGCAGAGGTTCTAACCTTTGCACACTTTATGCAAAGCTAAACATGGTTTAGAATGTAAGTGTGTCTATGAATACTGGAGAGAAAGTAATGTAATAAAGCATTTGCATAACTGCATATTCTCTTTAAACTCTGTTTAAGAAAAATGTATCTCTAAAAATGGAGATCAGCGCTAAAGAATTGTAGAATCTAGTGTTACAACAGAGTAAAGGCTCCTGCATATGACAAATGTTTAGGCATCAAAGGGTTATGGAATCTTAAAAACATTTTAGTTTTAATCGCCATCAGTTGTGTGTATGAGATCTGTAGACATACAGCTAGGCAATAGCTGGAGAATCTAAATGTTAGGCTCAGCTAATGAGCAAGAAGATAAGGATGGGAATATGTCACATGCATCCCCTGTAGTGGTTACGCAGTTAGCCCAAGCACTAGATCTTATCTCTGTAGTAGCACCTGAGAACCAGGAGTCATGTTTCCCTTTGACTCCTGCGTAAATCTGACTAGGCATGCAAACACATGTTACATCTTACTAGTTAAAATGTTACTAAACCCAGGACCCTGCATAATTGACTCCTGCCTAATTACCATTTCCCCAGATAAGAGCTTCATGTGGTAAACATCTTGGACCTCAGCCTTCTTAAAGTGTTACTAAACCCAGGACCCTGCATAATTTACTCCTGTGTAATTACCATTTCCCCAGATAAGAGCTTCCTTTGGTAAACATCTTGGACCTCAGCCTTCTTAAAGTGTTACTAAACCCAGGTTCCTGCATTTGCTATATCTGAACTCCCACTGTACACAGAACATGAAATTGCATTTATTTCAGTAAATATAAACTGCTAAATACCTTTTCTCATCAGCAGTTAGAACAGTCTTGGGACTCTTATCAGTGTCCAGCAGAACACTGGTTAAAGCTTGTAGGAGGCGTTTTCATTCTCTCCTGATTGTCCTATGAGGCAGCATACCCCCTGGCCTCTGTCTGGATGGTGCTGATTGGCCCTTGGCTCATCACATGCACTCTTCCAAGAAAAAAAAATATCTAGCAATACACACTAAACTGAGCATGTGCACCTTGCCCCCAGGCTCTGTTCTATCAGCAGATGGGACAGTAGAAGAATTGGAGGATCAGAGAAGACAGGATCAAACATCCTTTTTACGCAATGCAAAGGATTAACCCTTTAAGTTCAACAGTGAGTATAACAAGCATGCTTTACTGCATATGCAGACTGATTTTACTGTTGTGGGTTCAGTAACACTTTGACACTGTAGACAGAGGCGTGGCTAAAAATGGAGATTGAAAGAAACACTGGCTGAAGCTGCTCTCTGTAGCTGCTGGGGAAACAAAGAAACACAGCGCCTCTAAGTGTGTACTGCGAAGGTATTTAACCACTTGCCTACCAGGCACTTATACCCCCTTCCTTACCAGGCCAATTTTCAGCTTTCAGCGCTGCCGCACTTTGATTGACAATTGTCATGCAACATTGTACCCATATGAAATTTTGATCATTTTTTTCTCACAAATAGAGCTTTCTTTTGGTGGTATTTAATCGCCACTGGGCGCTTTACTTTTTGCGCTATAAATTTAAAAAAGTGCAAAAAATTTGAAAAAAAAAAAGTTTATTTGTTTCTTTTATAAAATTTTTCAAACAGGTATTTTTTCTCCTTCACTGATTTGCGTTGATGAGGCGGCACTGATGGGCACTGATAGGCGGCACTGATGGGCACTGATAGGCAGCACTAAAGGGCACTGATAGGCAGCACTAATGAGGTGGCACGGATAGGCGGCACTGATAGATAGCACTAATTAGGGGTCACGGATAGGCGGCACTGATATGCAGCACTGATAGGCGGCACTGATAGGTGACACTGATGATGGGTACTGATAGACGGCACTGACTGGCATCACTTCTGGGCACTGACTGGCGGCACTGACTGGCACAACCCCTGGGCACTGACTGGTGGCACTGACTGGCAGCACTGCTGGGCTGCACTGGTGGGCGGCACTGGGTGGGCAGCACTGGGGTGGTGGGCACAGGTGGGTGGCACTGGTGGGCACAGGTGGGTGGCACTGGTGGGCACAGGTGGGTGGGCACAGGTGGGTGGCACTGCTGGGCACATGTAGGTGGCACTTCTGGGCACAGGTAGGTGGCACTGCAGAGTGGCACAGGTGGGTGCACTGCTGGGCACAGGTGGGGGCACTGCTGGGCACAGGTGGGGGCACTGCTGGGAACGGGTGGGCGGGGCTAGTGGGCGCACTGCTGGGCGGAAATTGCGGGTGTCACTGCTGGGCACCGATCATCAGGGCACTGATCATCAGTGCCCTGATGATCGGTGCCGATCCCCGCTCTGACAACTGCCGGTTCTCGGCAGTACTTTCCTCACGATCTGACAGCGTGAGGAAAGTGCAGCCGAGAACCGGCACTTGCATTTCCCTGTGATCAGCGTGTCATTGGACACCGCTGATCACGTGGTAAAAGGCCGGTGGGATCGGCCTTTCACCACATCACGTGATCAGCTGTGTCCGTAGGACACAGCGATCACGGAGATCGCCGGGTGCGCGCCCCCTGGGGGCGCGCAGGAGAGCGCGTTCTGGGAGGACGTCATATGACGTCCACTCAGAACTGGCCGGCCGCGGTGAAGCCGTCATTCGGCTATGCGCGGTCGGCAAGAGGTTAATAGAAAGATAAGTAGTAACTCACATCTTAGAATTTAAAAGCAGGCTCATTGGTAAGAGGGTGAGATGTCTATAGCCAGATGTTGTGTGACTGATCCAGAGAGGAGATCGATTGAGTCCGCCAGCAGGTGGCTCTCCACCGATTCTGTCTGGTGGCTTTATAAATTCATCTCACTTATAGCAAGATTGCTTAACATCCTATGAGTCTGCAAGTCTGTTCCAAGTGTAAGAGCCCCCTAAAAGAGGAACTTCATTCCCCTCTTTAAGTGGCTCCACACCCCCTCCAGTATCACTAATTTAGATATGCTTTTGGGTCCTGGCAGAGCCTTTCGGCAAATCTGTGAAGCCGCAGGAGATTTACCACGCCTGTGCAAAGATGACATAATTTTGTGATTTCCATAATAGTAAATCTTTGCACAAGTGTGGCAAAAACAAAAAGCATGCACAGGTGTTCAGGGAAAATCCAAACGTGGGCACAAGCCCCAGGGCTCATTTGGGACGTGAAGTAAAAAATCTCATAAATGAAAAAAAAAAAAAAGTTATATCCAGTTGTGAGAGAGGGAGTGGAAGGTAGACGGGCAATACGGCACTTAGTTTAGGGTGAAGGTCCACTTTATGTCTCCACAAACCAGAGACTGGTCTTAGAAAGGCTACAGAATAATCTGTAAACATTGTTTTTAGGCTCCATTCACACCTATAAAAGAATGTTGGTGTGCATGTATTTTTCTACAATTTTGCAGGTCACGTTTAGTGCATCCCATTTACAGTATTTCAATACTTCAAAAGGAAATTGTACAAAGGAAATGCACGATTTTGCACATGTTCCCGCATCGCATAAATGAAAGACTAGCCTTACTGTGCCAAAAAAAATGTAAACCTATATTTCCAAGAAACCTTGCATATACAAATCTGTATGTAAATATATTTTTTATATACATTTGGAACAATAAACAGGCAAAATGTGAAAGCCACATTAAAGATTGTATTGAAGATATCATTTGCAAAAAAAACCCCAAAAACGCTAAATGTTTGCAAATGAATTCTAGTGCCCTCCAGGATTTACCCCCCTTCCTGACCAGGCCATTTTTTGCGGTACGGCGCTGTAGTATTTTAACTGACAATTGCAACGTTGTACATAAATGAAATGTATGTCCTTTTTTTTCCCACAAAGAGAGGTTTCTTTCTGTGGTATTTGATCACCTCTGTGGTTTTTATGTTTTGTGCTATAAGCAAAAAAAGACTGACAATTTTGAGAAAAAAACAATATTTTGGACTTTTTGCTATAAAACATAATCCAGTAAAATAATTTTTAAAAATCTAATTTCTTCATAAATTTAGGCCAAAATGTATTCTGCTACATGTCTTTGCTAAAAAAAATCCCAATACGTGTAAATTAATTGGTTTAATTGAAAGTTATAGCGTTTACAAATGGCAGGATAGATACTGGTAGTTTTTTTTTCTACTAGTAATGGCAGCGATCAGCAACTTTTAGCGGGACATTCTGACACTAGGGGGAACTAACTTGGTGTCACAGTCATCCCCAGTGACACCAATACAGTGATCAGTGCTTAAAAGAGCACTGACACTGTACTAATGGCATTGGGCAGGAAAGGGTTAATGTGAGGGGCGATCAAAGGGTTAACTATGTGCTGGGAGTGTTTTACTAGGGGGCAGGGGGTGTGTGCTTTACTGTAAGCCATCTGTAATTGTGCTTGAGCTGACAGGGAGGAAGACTATAAACAGTAATCACTGGGTGCCGGCTGGTAATTACCAGCTGGGACCCAGTGACTGACATCAGTGGCCACGAATGGATGAGCGGGAAGGACACATGAACGCTCCCTACCCAGAAATGCAAAATCACATATATATATACATGATTTTGTGCACAGGTGCCGCCCTGTAGCAGTATATCTGGTATAGGGTGGTCCTTAAGCGGTTAAGGGGTGAAGTGCGGCCTGGCCGGTCCAGTCCCAAGAGGGGAGACTTCTGACAGGTTAGCATGTCCCTAGCCTTTCCCTCCTCATCAAGAACCTGTCCCTACAACAAGTTGCTGTCTCTGACAGGCGGGGTCTTTCTCCCTACACTAGCCACTCGCAAAATGCACACCAAAACCCGGGGCAGAGGCTTACATAGACCCTGTTGACCCAAGATGGCCACCGAGGGTCACATGGCCACCACGTAGCTAACTGGAACACTGTTTCAATTGAGCCAGGAAACCATAGAGAATCCAGGTTTCTTTAAAACTTCCTCTCCAGGACATGGCACCACTCGGTTCGAGCACCACCTAATGTGGCCATGCAGTGCTCCAGCCACCCAGCTGCACCACTCATTCACAGAGTTCTGTGCATGGGAGAACTACAACTACAGTCAACCAATGCAGCAGATGGATTGTAGTTCTCAATGAACTACCAGGGTGCTTATGAGTGCTCTAGGCAGTTCATTGATCCGTTCTGTCATTAAGTAACTGCCTGCCCATAAGAGGTACGGGCAAACAGCTACACTGACAGTCTGCAAGAACCTGAGATTGTACTCACAACAAGAATCTGTTTCTTGTTCTATTATTCCTGCCCGAGATATATGAGGAGTCCTTAATTGTGTTCATACAAAATAAGTTTTCAATTACTTGGCGGCTCTCACCCCACATGGGATCATGTAAGTGTATAACCACATTGTAGATTACCAAATTGTTAACACCAATAAAACTTTTTTATGTATATTGATATGTGTGTGTTTGTTGTAGGCATCATGCCTTCTTGAGCACTTCTGAGGAAGAGATTGCTGTTGGTCTCTAAACACGTCAAGTGCAATTTATGCATGACCATTTCTATATTTGAAATACCATCTATGATGACACCACCGTACTCTGTATTGTAGCTTTATGTTTGTTTTTCAGGACTGTAAGAATAAAACTGCATATTTTAAAAAAAAATTTTTTTGAACTGTTTAAGTTTATCATAGAAGAGAATTGTGACATTAAAGTCTCATCAACAAGAGGACTTCCCCCTTTGTATTCTTTAGGGATGATGGCACCCTGTGTATCATATCCCTTTCCCTCTTCATATAGGCAGATGCAATTCACTTTTGTGCCCAGTGTCTGAATTAGAACATATGAATAGTAAAAACGCCAAAGGTTCAGTGAGTGGGCATTACATTGCATTCACTTTCTGTGGCACAAATCTTTTACTGACTGCAAATAATTTTTTCCTAGCAGCAAAAATGCTAAGATGAGTGATTCTGTAACTGATATGAATGGCTGCTGCAAAATCACCAGTGTGACATGGGCCATAAGCAGAAAGCATATGCCTGGAGTCTCAAGTCCCAGCCACTAATCTATCCTAAAGAAGATCATACATGGGTCGAATTCTTTTTTTATCGAAAATCTAAAACATTGTTCGTTCTGTAATCTGATGGTGCCACCAATGATTTCGTAGTTTTTCATGAATTTTCCAGCATGCCCGATAAATGAAATGGGGAGGAACCACGAAAATTGGCCGGTGCCATTGCCCCACTAACAGAGCAAAAATTGTCCGATTATTCTTAGGTCTGATTTTTATTTCAATATTTTTATTAAATAAGTTTTTGTTTTTATAATACAACAAGCTCATGATATGCCCACGCAGGGGCAGAGCATAACAATAACATACAGTGAAGGAAATAAGTATTTGATCCCCTGCTGATTTTGAATGTTTGCCCACTCACAAAGAAATGATCAGTCTAAAAATCGAATGGTAGGTGTATTGTAACACTGAGAGACAAAATAGCAACAAAAATTCAAAAGAAATTAATGTCTAACAAATTATGCACTGATTTGCATGTTCATGAGGGAAATAAGTATTTGATCCCCTATCATTCAGCAGGATCTCTGGCTACCAGGTGTCTTTCATACAGGTAATAAACTGAGATTAGAAGCAGTCTCTTAAAGGGAGTGCTGCTAATCTCATTTTGTTACCTGTATAAAAGACACCTGTCCACAGGAGCAATCAAACAATCAGATTTCAAACTCTCCACCATGAAAAACACTAAAGAGCTGTCCAAGGATGTCAGGGACAAGATTGTAGACCTACACAAGGCTGGACTGGGCTATCAAACTATCGCCAAGCAGCTTGGTGAGAAGGTGACAACAGTTGGTGCAATCATTCGCAAATGGAAGAAAGACAAAACAACCGTCAGTCTCCCTAGGTCTGGTGCACCATGCAAGATCTCACCTCGTGGAGTGTCAATGATCATGAGAACCGTGAGGAATCATCCTAGAACTACACACAAGGATCTTGTCAATGATCTCCAGGCTGCTGGGACCACAGTCACCAAGAAAACAATTTGTAACACACTGCACTGACAAGGATTGAAATCCTGCAGTGGCCGCAAGGTCCCTCTGCTCAAGAAAGCACATGTCCAGGCCCATCTGAAGTTTGCCACTGAACATCTGAATGATGCCGAGGAGGACTGGTTGAAAGTGTTGTGGTCAGATGAGACCAAAATCAAGCTTTTTGGCATCAACTCAACTTGCCATGTTTGGAGGAGGAGGAATGCTGCCTATGACCCCAAGAACACCATCCCAACTGTCAAACACGGTGGTGGAAACATTCTGCTTTGGGGGTGTTTTTCTGCTAAGAGGACAGGACAACTGCACCACA